GGCTGTCTTTAAACCACGATCCTCAGATTGCAGCCTCCTGAGCAGCTACAATATCCCTGAGCTTTTTTTGTTCAAGGCTAACACTACTACTTGAGCTACTTCCCACTTATTACTCGTTAATTGGAAATAAAAGTCTTATGGAGGCGGGGAAAGTAGCTCAGTGGCAGAGTGCTTGCTTTGCACCACATGAGGCCCTGGGTTGGATTCCTCAGCACCATATAAGCAGAAAACGTCGGAAGTGGTGCTGTGGCTCAAGTGGTAGAGCGCTAGCCTTGAGCTGAAGAGCTGAGGGACAGTGCCCAGGCCCAGAGTTCAAGCCCCACAACTGACGAAATAAATAAATAAATAAATAAATAAATGTATGTCTCATGGAGTTTCCTGCCTGGCGTCTTCCAACTGTGATCCTCAGCTCTCAGCCTTCTGAGTAGCTAGGATTACAGGTATGAGTCACTGAGGCGCAGCAAGGAGTTTCTTTTGAAATTCAGTTGGTAAAATACTAGACCTGATGTGAACTTATCTGGTAAGAAATTTTTGTGATCCTAATTATAGACTTTATCTCATTTAATGTGAATATTGGTTCATTTTACTGTAGAAATATTAGAATGTTCGATTATAAGATGTGCCTTAATCTCTGTTGGCAGTACTATGTAATATTAAAGAAAATTCTGAGTTCTAATACAAGTATTTCCCTAAGAATTAAGAAAAAGGATTATGGATTGTAATAGTTTAAATCTGTATAAACCTTACTATATGCAGACTTCCAACCTAAGTTCTTTACCTATATTAACTCATTTCATTTTTACTATTGTACAAGAGGTGTGGATGTTTTTTATTCAATTACTTAAGGATTTCATAATGCTAAAAAAGTGAGAACCACTGCTCTATAAATTGTTCAACTTCTGCTCTAATAACTGCCACTTTATTAGTTATTTTGACTTTTTTTTCTGGTCCTAAAGCTTGAACTCTGGGCCTCAATACTGTCCTTGAGCTCCTTTTCTTTTTGTTCAAGGCTAGCGGCTCTACCAATTGAGCCACACTGCTACTTCTGGCTTTTTTCTGTGATTTAATTGGTTATAAGGGTTTCACAGACTTTCCTGACTGGCTAACTTCAAACAGTAATCCTCAGATCTTAGCCTCCTGAGTGGCTGGGATTACAGATATGAGTCACTGATACCAAGCTCTGTTTTGACATTCTTTTATTTATTTATTTTTTGGGTCCGGTCGTGGGGCCTGAACTCTGGGCCTGGGCGCTGTCCCTAAGCTCTTCAGCTCAAGGCTAGCGCTCTACTACTTGAGCCACAGCGCCACTTCTGGGTTTTTTCTTTTTGCTTATGTGGTGCTGAGGAATTGAACCCAGGGCCTCAGGCATGCAAGGCAAGCGCTCTGCCACTGAGCCACCTTCCAAGCCCCCTTGACATTCTTTTAATGTGAGAAAAATCATACTTGTTTTTCAGATCAAGTTCTCAGAAACTTTGTACACTCTCTATTTTTGTTGTAGGATAGTGCAGCTGTCCAGATTCTCCTAGAGATTTGTTTGCCTACAGAAGAGGAAAAAGCAAAAGGTGTCAGTCCAGACAGCTTGCTCAGGAGTGTTCAAAGTGTTATTACCACCAGCATGCCAAATAAAGAATTGGAAGAAGGAGAAGACAACTTGCTGTGCAACCTTCGAGAAGTTCAGTGCCTTATCTGTTGTCTGTTGCACCAGATGTACATCGCAGATCCCAATATTGCTAAGCTTGTGCACTTTCAGGTGTGTTTTCAAAGAGTGCTGATTTGTGGGTGAACTTTACTTTTCTTGGGAGTTTTGTATACTAAATTAATATGGACTAATATTTTAAGAAGAGAGATACACACATGATCATCGTCTTTGGAAAAATGGGGAAAGATACAAAGTTTTAAGGTTTTTTTTCCTCAGTATAATATAGGGTTCAAATAATTCCTCCTCCTCCTCCTTTCTCCTTCGCCTCCTCTTCTTCCTCCTCCTTTTTCCTCCTCCCCTTCCTTCTCCTCCTCCCCCTTCTTCTTCTCCTCTCCCCTTTTCCTCTCCCCTCCTTCTTTCTCCTCTCCCTTCTCCCCTCCTCCTCCTCTTCCTTCCCCTCCTCCTTTTTCTTCTCCTTCCCCCTTCCTCTCCCCTCTTCCTTCTCCTCGTCCCCCTCATCCTCCTCCTTCTTTTCCTCTCTCTCCCTTCTTCTTCCTCCTTCTCCTTCTTCATCATCTTCTTCCTCTTCTTCCTAGTCATCCTCATCATCATCCTCCTTGTAGTCCTCCTCCGCCTCCTCCTCCAGAAAAGTGAAATGCCAGGATACATGTTCTTACACTGTAACTGGTAATTTTCTGAGCAGTTCTTTTTTTTTTTTTTGGGTCCGGTCGTGGGGCCTGAACTCTGGGCCTGGGCACGTCCCTCAGCTCTTCAGCTCAAGGCTAGCACTCTACCACTTGAGCCACAGCGCCACTTCCGGCTTTTTTCTTTTTGCTTATGTAGTGCTGAGGAATCGAACCCAGGGCCTCAGGCATGCAAGGCAAGCGCTCTACCACTGAGCCACCTTCCCAGCCGCTCTGAGCAGTTCTTCCTGAAAGGAAGTGAAACATTTATGTTTTCATCTGTATCGGTGTTATTTCTAACCGGTTCCCTCCTTTCTCGTTGAGCCAGGGTTACCCCTGTGAGCTTTTGCCTCTGACAGTCGCAGGCATCCCATCTATGCACATCTGTCTGGATTTTATCCCTGAGCTTATTGCACAGCCAGAACTTGAGAAACAGGTAATGAGCATTCTGGAGCTTTGAGAGAATTCTGCTCTCTCCTGTGTCTTGCAAGTTACATAAAGCATTTTATAATGTGAAGTATTTCCTATTTTCTTGTGGACTATGTATTGTTTTGGTTCTGTATTGCAGATATTTGCTATCCAGTTGCTTTCTCACTTATGTATCCAGTACGCATTACCGAAGTCACTTAGTGTGGCTCGCTTAGCTGTCAATGTCATGGGAACATTGCTAACAGGTGTGTAGCCAATCAGCATCAATGGCAACAACTAGTACCACAAATTAGTACGTATATTTTGAGTTCAGTGATTTAGTTTTTTATGTTGCTATGGGACGGTCTGACATAACATACATTACTAATAGTTTAACTTAGAGCATCTTTTGAATTATTATTGTTTTGGAAATTTTGTATTTAAATGTGTGGGTAGTCTTTAATTCTTATTTCCTTCATGAAGAGTGGAAAATATTTCCCTTCTCCATTTATTTCTCCTTTAACCTTGTTTTACTAAAATATGTTCTTGCTAAAAAAAAAAACCAAAGTGATAGTGTAGAAGATGAGAGAAAATAATTTTCAAAAGGAAAGAAATTATGATTTATTACAAATGTCCAGAGTTCTAGAAAAATATAATTATATATCATATATTACTGTATATATATAAAGAAAACATAAAATATTAGTTAAGTTCTACAGTGTTTGCTAACATTTTAACCACCATAGTGTTAGAGCACTTGACAAGCATATGTAAAAGTGCTAGGCTTGATTACTAGCACCATAAAAACCAAACCACACACACACACACACACACACACACACACACAAACACACACAAACCACATATGATATATAAATGATAACAATGTTCAATCCTTTAATGTTAAGGCTTAGTTAATTTATAACTCTCAATATTCCCATAATATTGTTCAATTTTTTATTCTATTGCATTTACTTTATGTTGTCATAATTTGTGGTGGTTAAGAGTTTATATCACCCAGCTTTCCCACATCCTGCTGTGTGGCCTGGAATAAGGTTTTTTTTTAACCTATTTAAATTTTATTTAAGAGTATTTTTATGAAAAGTGTCATAATAGTACCTTCTTAATTCATGAAATTCTCATAATACCTTCTTAATTCATAAAATTTTGCAACTTCAATGAAAGAATGTAATTGTCAGCAAGAAACAAATTCTGATTTACTGTACATGTTAAGATGATGAATGCTCAGTTTTATAGTTTTTTCAAATGTTTCACATTTATTTCACAATTATTTTTGAGCATAATAAGTTGCTCATTCCTTGGGTGATTGAGCTGCCTAAGGCAGGCATGGGCTAGATCTTAGAAAATGTACAACAGAATATGGTACTAGTTCATTGTACAGGCTGCTATATTTATGTTTCCAATGTAAAACGTCTGTTTCGTTTCTTTCCAACAGTTTTAACACAGGCTAAGCGGTATGCTTTTTTCATGCCAACTCTCCCGAGTTTGGTCTCTTTTTGTAGAGCGTTTCCTCCGCTGTATGAGGATATTATGTCTTTGCTGATTCAAATAGGGCAAGTGTGTGCCTCTGACGTTGCCACTCAGACAAGGGACATTGACCCAATTATCACACGTAAGTGGTTAACTCATTTTCAAGAATTATCTTAATATCTTAAAGACAGAATTCTTTTCACTATTTCTTGCTTTGTCCTTCCTATTATTTTAGGTCTTCAACAAATAAAGGAAAAACCAAGTGGATGGTCTCAAATCTGTAAAGTGTCATCTTACAAAAATGGATCCAGGGATGCTGGAAGCATGGATCCTGATGTACAGCTCTGTCATTGTATTGAAAGCACAATAATTGAAATAATAAACATGAGTGTTAGTGGAATTTGAAAAAAAAAATTAAAGCAACAACAATGAAATGAAGCTGTTTGCTACCTGTACCCAGCACGGATCTGCATCTTAAAAGTAACTCTAAACTGAATGGGACAGTAATGGAACAGTTTTGGAACTGGTGAAATGGTTCAGTTCAATATGAATACCATTTAAAACTATCTAGGAATTATGCTTGCTTGCATTTGATTGACATATCTTTGGATCTCCTCTCCTGGTATGTTTATATTGTAGCACCCAGGTTTCCTCCCCTGCTCCCCTGCCCAATTGGGAGCACATTTAAGGACCTCGTTACTGAAAAAGGAATTTAGCCTTTTGCTTTGCTATTGAAATGAAGAAAGACTGTCATGCCTTTAATTTAATTCCTTATAAAAATGATTGTGTGGACAGTTGCAGTTTTTGACTGTGAGGTTTTAGTAGATTTCCACAAAGATAGAACAATAGGAGAGAGAAAAAGGATCAAAGAAAGGGAGAAGTCAGAAAAAAATTAGGAGTTGAATACCCAAATAAAATGTCAAACTACTTGTAGTGCAAGTAATAGTGATGCAGGTTGGAACTCTAATTCTCAAGAACTATTATTGAGAAGTCTTAAAAAATAGCTTTTGTTAATGATTTCCATGGAATTACAGATAAGGTTTAAATATTTCAGATATAAGCTTCAATTTTTACTAAAATCTGAAGCCATATGTTTAAAGAGATACTTGAATACTTTGGAATTTAAGATACTGGTTTAAAAGTATCTTCAAAAACATCTTTGTGTGAAGAACCTGAAAGGAAGGCTCATTTATTTTATTTTTTAAGATTTATTTTTGTAATGGTTTATTAACTTATCTCATTCTCAGAGGGTGGAGTATGTATCAAATAAATGAAGTTTAGAGCAATAAAACCTACTGGATTAGATAGCTCAGTTTATATCAGGATTATAATTCACATTTTACTTTGGGGAGATCTTTGAATAAGAAAATATGTACAGCGTCTGAACCTCAGGAAAAACTAAAATGTGGGAAATGCTGTATTTTGAAGGATTTTGCAATCCTATGTTCAGGTAACCTGTTTGGTTTTTTTTTCCTTTTTCTTTTTTGTGCCATCTGGGGCTTGAACTCAGTCCTAGGTCCCTGAGCTTTTGTGTTTTGTGCTCAAGGCTAGTGCTTAACCACTTGAGCCACAGCTCCACTTCCTGCTTTTTGGTGGTTAATTGGAGATCAGAGTTTCATGCACTGTCCTGTCTGGGCTGGCTTTAAGCCATGATGTTCAGATTTCAGTCTCCTGAGAAGCTAGGATTCCAGGCATGAGACATTGGCACCCAACCCATCATCTTTTTTTTTTTTTTTAATAGCATCCAATGTAGAAGGTACTTCTCTTTGCTTTCTGAGATATACCTGTCACATTCCTTCCCACCCTTCCACTCCAAATAGACCTCTTCATCTGTAAGGCAAGCTAATAAGAAAGTTTTAAAAAATTTTTTACTTTAGCCCTTCACTAGCAAATAGTTCTATCTTATTTTCCTTCTTTATAAACTGGGGTTCTACTGGCCCTACCTCATATAAGGGTATTCTATAAAAACTGGTTTGTATCTGTTTCCAATCATGAAGTGCATATTTTCATGTGTGACAGAATATTTATAACTTTTTATTAGATACATAATGTTCAATTAAGTAATTTTGATGTGAAGACTAAAAGAATATGCTTAAAAATAGCATAAGAATTTTCATATTTTTAAACAAGGCAGTTTTGTAGTCTCTTAAGATCAAATACAACTTGCACCTGTTTTGTTTTTAAACTGAGGCCTTGGAATATTTTCTTTGAATAGGTATCCACTAGGAGTTCAGAAAAGGTTGAAGAAGTATGTTTTCTAATGGTACACATTTCTTTGATCAACTTTCAAAGACTGGTCAAAACCTGCTGTGTTAAAATAATAACATGCTGTTTTTCATCAGATTTGTTGATGATGTAAATAAAATGTAAATACATTAGTAACTGTTAATATTCCTGTATTTTAAGTTAAGGTTATAAAATTTGTCATAATGTGATTTTTTTTATTCAAGTGAAAACAGATGTGTGCACCTATTTTGAATATTGATTTATAAACATTCATATTGTTTCTCAAATGGACTTGTAATTTTTTTGTGTTTTACTTCACTGCTGTGCCCTGAAAGGAACCATACAATAGACTGCAATTCAGGACTGTCCAGTTCCAGAATTTAGAAGTACCTCTTTCTGTTATGCCAGTAAGACATGACTGTAAGAATTTAAAAGTCTGAACTGGCCTAAGACTTAGTAGTGCAGTGCTTGCCTATCATGCATGAAGCCCTAGGTTTGATTCCTTAGGATTACATAAATAGGAAAAGCTGGAAGTGGCACTGTGGCTTAAGTGGTAGAGTGCTACCCTTGATCAAAAGAAGCTCAGTGACAATGCTCAGGCCCTGAGTTCAAGCCCCAGGACTAGTAAAAAAACAAATGAATGAATAAATAAATAAAAGGTCTGAACTGCTGAAGTTCTGGTTCCCTTAGGGCTTTGCTGGTTTCAAGCCAGGAAGACGAAAGTTGAGGAGACCCCTCCCACCCCATCTCAGCAAAAAAAGGTGGCATGGTGGCACATGTCTATCATCCATAAGGACTTAGGTGAGGAGAGTGAGACTAATTATTCTGGAGCAGTTATTTTAAAGATCAGATATTTTTAAAAGTTAATAGGGAGCCGGGCACTGGTGGCTCACACCTGTAATCCTAGCTACTCTGGAGGCTGAGATCTGAGGATTGTGGTTCAAAGCCAGCCCGGCCAGGAAAGTCTGCAAGACTCCCAATTTACTACAAAAGGCCAGAAGTGAAGCTGGGCTCAAGTAGTAGAGCCTTGAACAAAAAAAAAAAAAAAGCCCAGCTAGGACTGGCACCAAAAATCAATAATTAAAAAGTGGTAATGTCAGGCTGTAGCTCAGTGGTAGAGCAGTTTGTTTTCTTTTTTACTTTAAAATATTTCTTTTTTTTTTTTTTTGTTGGTGGTCATGGGCCTTAAACTTGGCCTGGGCACTGTCTCTGAGCTCTTCAGTTCAAGGATAGCACTCTATCACTTGAGCCACAGCACCGCTTGCAGCTTTTTCTGCATATGTGGTACTGAGGAATTGAACCCAGGACCTCATACATGGAAGATAAGCACTCTACCACTGAGCCACCTTCCCAGCCCCTGTGGTAGAGCATTTTACCTAGTAGGTAATGTAAAAACTCTGGGTCTCATGCCCAGTACTACCCAAAGGAAGAGTGAAAGCAAATTAGTTATACCTGTATTTTTTAAGGATTTGTTTTTTTAAATAAATTATTCCATGTTTGTGAAAGTAAATCACTCTTTCATCTTTGCTTATCCAAATACTGAATTAGCACATTACAAATTCCTAAAACACAATGTGGAGTCTTCTTCCCCTCCACTTAATTTTTTTTTTTTTGCCAGTCTTGGGGCTTGAACTCAGGGCCTGGGCACTGTCCCTGAACTTCTTTTGCTAAAGGCAAGCACTCTACCACTTGAGCCACAGTACCCATTTTCGGCTTTTTCTGTTGATGTGGTATCAAAGAATCAAACGCAGGGCTTCATGCATGCTAGGCAAGCACTCTACCACTAAGCCACATTCCCAGCCTGGTTTATTTTTTGTAAGAATTATTACCTCCAAAGACAGAGACAGTCCATCAAGGCATGGTTAAGGTGACAAAAAAAATTTTACACTATTTACACCAGAAAGGGGGCCTGCCACTACTTGTCCTGGGCTCGATACCCAGAACCAACAGCAGCCTCGACCACCAAACCTCCAAGCCTATTAGCTGGTCTGCAAACCAACAATTAGTCTGCAAACCTCCAACCTCAGACCTCCAAAGCTCCAAGCTTATCGGGGTCCCGCTGGTTATTACATAAGTAGTTGCTAGGGTAGCTCAGTTTTTGTTTCTTTTTCCCTTCCAAGATCTTGAGTACTAGAGATCTGGGAAGTTTAGAGTGGCACTGCCGAATGTTCAGAGAGACCTTGGCACAGCTTAAAGCAGTTTCCTCTCCTGTTGTCTAAGTACTTCAGAAGCCTGCGGGTCTCCGGGCTGCCTGAGTTCTCCCCAGCTTCAAGTGACAGGGAGAAGACACCTTTCCTTTAAGCAAACATCCAGAGCTCGCCTCGCGCGTGCTCAATGAGTGGTTGCTTTCCAGTGTGGCCGTCCGCTTTTATTTCGGAGGCCCCCCGTTGGGTGTCGGCGCGCTAACTGCGGGCTACGATTGGCTGCTTGCTTCCTGGTCTTCACAGTTGATTGGTTGCTTGAACTCGCTCGGCGATTGGGCGCTGGGAGCCGAGGGGTGGGAGGCGGGAATTCGTTTGGGACTGCGTTGTGAGGGGCGGAAGAGCGCTGCGGCGGCGGCGGGGAATCGCGAGGCGCTGTGAAGCCCACCTGTGGTGGTGGCGGCGGTGGCGGCGCCCCGCGAGGAGAAGCGGGGTGATTACGACCTGTTTCCTTTCTCCTCCGCTGGGAATCGATCTGCACTTTGCCCTCTCAGAAGCCAGCATTTCATTCCCGCCCCTTCCTCTCCGGGTCTGGTCGTCGGCGCCCGGTCCGCGCTGCTTCAGTTCCCGCCGGGCACAGGCAAGTGGGCAATCCCAGGCGTGCCGGCGGCGGGTGCGCCCGGCCCTGCCAGCCGTGGGCCTGGACCCCGCACCCGGGCCTGGGGGGGGGCGGTGCAAGGGGGACGGGAATAGTGGGGAAGGGGGAGCCAGTCCTGGTCTGAAAGTGACTTTGGCAGAGGGGAGAAAATCGGATGGGCGGAGACAGGTGGGAGTTGCTCTTTTAGGCCTTGCACCGGGATGCTTCTACATTCTGAGATGCAGAACCCTGCTGTGGCCAGGCCTGGGCCGGGAGAGAGCGTCAGGAGGGAGAGAGAGGGTGTGAGAGACAGACGAAGTCTTGAACTCAGGACCTGGGCGCTGTCTCTGAGCTTCTTCCATTCAAAGCTGTCGTTCTAACACTTGGAGCCACAGTTCCACTTCTGGCATCTTGCTCGATCACTGGATAGAAGAGTCTCATGGACTTTCCTGCCCTGGCTGGCTTTAAACTTTGGTCCTCAGATGTCAGCCTCCAGAGTAGCTAGAAGGTCTCAAATAGTGTGAATTCCTTAGAAAGACAAAGTCAAAACCCAACAAAATAAGCACCCTTGGAGGGACAAAGGGTGAACAAATGCAGCAGTGGTACTCACTAGACACTATGTTGTGGGTGGGGATGGGATGGAAAAATGGGGAGCTAGGGAAGGGGTGACACTGTCCAAAAAGAAATGTACTTATTACCTGACTTATGTAACTGTAACCTCTTTATATATCACCTTTATCATACGAATAAAAACAATTAAAAACAAAACAAGCACCTGAAAATAGGTACCTGCAAGGGGGGGTGGAGTCAAGGGGAGAGAGGGAGTGAATGAAGTGGGGGAAGGGAGAGAGAACTCAGTCAAGAATCTATTGTATTCCAAAATTAAGAAAAATAAGAAAAGGAAGGGGTGGCTCAAAGGCTGGTGGAAATGTTGAAAGGGGTGACACTGATCAACATACATTGTATTCATAAACTGCATTGTTAAATGGCAGCTATTGAAAGAGAGTAACTAAAGCCCCTGGCTGGAGGCTGTCTGTAATCCTGGTTACTCTGGAGGCAGAGATCTGGGAGATCTGGGTTCAAAGGCAACCCTGGCCAAAAAGGGAGGCCATGAGACTCTTATCTCCAATTAACTACCAGAAAACTGGAAGTGGAGCTGTGGCTCAAAGTGGTGGAGTGCTAGGGACTACCCCAGGCCCTGAGTTCAAGATTACAAAATGTAATCTTGTCATCACATGGCTGAGGTTAGACTTCACCGAGCCTCATTCTCAGAACTTTGCACTACAAATCATGGGGAGAATCATTAGAAAAAATTGTTATTTTTAAGATGTCACAAGTCAGATAATGAGTACATTCATTTTTTTTCTTTATTTTTTTTTTTCCGGTCTTGGGGCCTGAACTCTGGGCCTGGGCGCTGTCCCTCAGTTCTTCAGCTCTACCACTTGAGCCACAGCGCCACTTCCGGCTTTTTTCTTTTTGCTTATGTGGTGCTGGGGAATCAAACCCAGGGCCTCAGGCATGCAAGGCA